GAGGAGGGAGGCACTCCCTTATTTGGCTTATACGGGTCAGGTATGTGCTGCTGAACACAAGGTCTTGAGTATTAACCAGCGTGTAGAATTATATTATTTTAATAGTAAAAATCTAAGTATTTATTTTATTATTTTAATAGTAAAATTCTATTTTCATAGTAAATTCGCTTAAAAGCGTCGTGAACAGTGTCTTTTTGGGCTGGAAGCCTTGAAAAGACTGTAAAGGCTAGCGATGAGCAGTTTACATTTGCAATACCATAATTTTTCTCTAAAGTTTCTATTTCCGTGATGTTAGTTTGAAAAAGTATTTGATTCTTTATGCCAAACAAAACAAAAAAAATAAATCAATGTCAGAATCTTAAACAGTGTCGAGGTTTGAAGGTCTAGGCGGCACAGCTCTTTTAAGACTTACTTAGCAACAACACCACAAAATGTTTCCAGCGATATCTCGTCGGTTTTGGATATTCTGACTAATTCTAACAACGTTACACTCACAGAAAAGGTAACATTTTAACGAAAAATCCACTGCAAATGTGCCGGTTTATCTGCTACTCTTTGAAGATTAAATTTTTTCCTTTCCTTAAAAGTTGGATAGCCACAATTCTATAAAAAAAGACGATAAAGTGGGCAAAAAACTGCTAATATAGAAGAAAGGCAAAGAAAAAAAGAGAGCGATAGAGAAAGATCGAAATAGATTCGCAAATAAAAAGTCAAAAATTTTGGATTGTGCGTATGCGTGAAAACTGGCAAAAAAGCTGTTTAATTACGCGATTAGTCGGAAAATATGCCTTTGTTTGATACAAAATTCATTTTTAGCTATTCTTTTAGCCATGCTAATTAGTTGAAAACCAGTCCCAAAGAAAAGGAATTGGTGAAAAATGCGGTTTTTTCGCTACTCGCCAGCCGTCACCAAAGGGTTAAAGAAAGTTACCAATTTGTTTCAAATTGGCCTTTTTCCTCATAAAAAAGTCAAATTTGCCCATTTCAGTACTAAACAGGTTTGCAATGTGAAAAAGAACTTCCAACGTTTAATTAATGTTAATAGCAATTTTCTTATTTAGATGATTGAGATATCAGTTGAATAGGCTAATTTCGAAAGCAAAATGGCGGTCACTGTGACGTCATATATGACGTCATCATATCTTGACTAACCTTAACAATGCTAAAATAATATCTCAGATACCTGGTAGTTCAAATCTTCTTTAAAAAAATTGTGTGTTTAAATTAAGAGGGAATCAAAGGTTTGTTTATAAATCCAAGATGGCGACCAAAATGAGGGTTTAAGTGGGAAATTTAAAATTCGATTTACAAAGTGAAAACTACCGTTCTATCCTTGCTATCATGCATTTTTGTGACGCTTTTTACTCAAAGATTTAGATTATACATGTTTTGTTTGTTCCCCTTAAGTGAGCCATACAACCCCCCTAGCTGACGGACTATAACCCCTCACTGTTTTATACACCACTTTTGACAGAGAAGGTACCCGTTTTTTATACCTTTTATTGACAAAATGATACCTCTCTTACATACATAGTAACGAGTACCTACTACCTAGACCGCAATCACAGACTCCCTCACCTTTCATATACTTCAATTAGTGAAATCCCTACCCTTCATTATGTCTGAATTTTACTAGTGATGACCCACCCCAATCTCGACAGTCGCGTATTCCCAGGGAGCAAAGCGTGACTCTGGCCCGAGCGAGTGCGAAGGAGACTACATGGTTCCTGGCTCAAACATTCCTTAGGTGGTCTCTAGTTTAATTTGTAATGAGAAGAATAGTTTTCTCGGTGGCTTGTAAGTATAAAGGCTTACTAAAGTAAAACATCACTAAATCAGAGCTGGAAAAATAAACCTGGATTCCCGGGGCTTGTCTTGTTGTCGTGTCCGAGGCCACTTCTTGCTCGTCTTAGTTAATGATTTGTCAGAGGATGACTTGCCTGGACCCCTGCCCACTGAGTAAGTAATGAGGGGTCCGGGGGGGTCCTGACCCCCTTATCAGACCTGACGCTTGTTTGAGACTAAAATTCGTACATCGACGGGATGGTATATCACTTTTTAACTGGCTGGTTTTTTTTCATGAAACGCGCGTGGCATTTTGCCTCTTAACTGTATGTATCCCAAATTACAAGTTTTGCCGGCTTATAATTGGTTATACCCTTCCTGTTAGTGCTGCCGAAGCTGAGCGTTCATTCTCTGGATTAGGACGAATCAAGTCATATCTCAGATGACCGGTTGTCAGGACTTGCACTCATGCACTTAATTCATGATCTTAACATTGATGTTAACGAGATCTGTACAAACTTTTTTACCAAGCACAAGAGGAGGATGTTTCAAGGGTGCATCCTTTACGAGTAGAATTTAATGTTTGGATCCCCCCTCCTCCCCCAATCAAAAATTCCCGGATGCGCCCATGGTAAGTAAGCTTTAAAACTAATTACTAGCCTAGAAAGGAAATCTACCTGTCCCGGACAACTGGAAGGTACTTTTTCCAGCCCTGATTTACGTTGACTCGCTGCACACACCAACAAGATACAATTTTATCGCCAAAGATCGATTTATTCTCTTTACATTCTCCTGTCAATGAAAACCAACGAACACGTAGGAATGAGTAGCGTGCTCACAGGTCTTACAGCAATCTATGAATTATTTGTTTCCCTCCTCCATGTCTTCAACACGGTACTTGTCATGAAGACGCTGGAAAGCTGTGTCCTTGTTTGATTTTCGGTTTGACACGTTTCTTCGACCACTGACCTGTTGGCTAAATAAAGAAATAAAGTTTACTTACAGAAAATATTTGACCTGGGGATGTGTGAATTAGACTTTAGAGGAGTAGTGGAATTATACTTTGAAACTGGATGCGTGCCTGTTGGTTGCATTGTTGGTTGCATTGTTGAGTAGGGATATGTATTAGGATTATTATACTACCACATGAGAAATTTCTGCAATTTGATTGGTTTAGAGCAGTGGTAATTCAGCTTAATTTGAAATACCTACATGTGAAAATTACAAACCTTTTGTGGGTAGTAGTATAAACAAATAATAGCATGATTTTTAGTGATATTTGGCATAAATACCACTCGTGATATTTCAAAATTGTCCAAATTTCACTCGCCTAACGGCTCGTGAAATTACGTAAAACAATTTTGAAATATCACTCGTGGTATTTATGCCAAATATCACTACAAATCATGCTATTACCTATACAAAAGTCCTTTACATGAACATATATTAATAGTGACTTTCGTTGTCGGTTTCCAAGTCAGTAGTTATATTTTCTCTCGGTATAGTTCTGGCCCTGAGAAGGTCAATTTTGATAGCCGAAATATTGCCCTATAATAAATCAGCCCTTTGCCGTAGTGCCTGCCCTGCATTGAGTTTTGTTTTATTACAGTTTGTTTACGTCCTTGTCTGCCAAGGTCACGATGATAAAACTTTGCGCGTGGGCAAGGTACCGGCAGCCATACAGAGCCACACTTGCGGAGTTTTCAGGATTTCAAACCCTTAATGACAATCTCATACCCAAACGTGTGTGCATGTAACCCCTCTCGGATTACCTCTTAAGCGGTTGGAAAATGCACATTGCCAAAGCTATGAGCACACCAAGAATGCCGACGATAATCATGGAGATGTAAAAAGTCTTCAAGGAACCTTTGGGCTTCTCTTCTTTGTCTTTCTGTTTTATTTGCTTGCTGGCGAGGACTTTAGGAAGTGCTTAAGGCAGAGAGAAAACAAAAAAGTTACCATTGAACGGAGTGAAAGTTGTCTCTGTCTTGGTATTATGAAGCTATTGTCTGTCGGGACCAATCTCGACCCAGATTAGCTTCCCACGCAGACGTTCTTAGGGGCTCGTCACGCGTTCCTGCCCCATGTTGGTGGGATAGGAACGCGTAACTAACCCCTAAGAACGTCTGCGTGGGAGGCTAGACCCAGATCTCTTCTGCGCATGATCGCGGAGTCAGAAACGGAAGCAGTGGGGACAAGAATGTACAGGGACAAGAAGAAGCCAGCTGCGGACTTAATACTCTCTTGAATTTTATAGAGAAAGGCATTTCACAACACGAATTGCGTATTTCAATATTTTTTTGGAAAAATGGTTTTGCAACAAAGGCGTACCGTACTGTATGGTATGCATTAGATAATAGCCTGATCCACAATCAGTTTGGCCTCATTTAGGGGGTAAATTACATTCATAGACTGACTTTCATAGTCACCCTCCTGGGCCTACACCTCTTTTTAAATCATACATTTCATGGCGCAGAATTTTCCATGTGATTTTCGAACAAGAGCGCAAATGTGAATCTTCAAATTGGATTTATGTGACTTGCATGTTCCTCCTACTAGAACTGGTTTCTCTGGTTTAGTTTTCATTCGAGCAAAACCTAAAAGAAAAAGAAAAACCATGCTAAGCTAAATTTTATCTCGTTTTCAAATGCAGCCCTCCGATTAACACATATAAACACTATAAGTAGGTTGAGTATGATCGTCCGGGTGAACGTTGTCCTGAATAGGACTGTTTTTGTTGACAATCACTGACGTTTCGACAACCTGTGTGGTAGTCATCTTCAGAGTCAAAGTGGGTTGTATCACGTCAGTTGATGCTATTAAACTCTAGTTATTGGTCAATTTATTCGCGATATTGTTGGTCTCTCAGTTATACCGTCTTATACTTGAACCCTGCTAGGCCCAAAAATGTCTGACCGCTTAATATTCTTTCTGGGCACACCGTCATTTAAGGCGACGTAGTTTCAGTCATCCTCATCCTCGGAGAGCCAGGTGCATTCAGTAGGGTCGGGAGAAAAGGCGCGAAAAAAGTTTTCAAGCACCGGCCGAAGAGGCAGGCCCTGAGTACCGACTCGGTCACCAGACCATTTCCAAACGGTCAAGCAAATGCTGGCTCCTGATTGGGCACAAAAAAATCCTTTGCCGGTATTATTGCTCCCAATCGGCCAACAGTATCCCCCGAGTTATTTTCGTGTGTTCGTACACGACGGCTATTTTTTTCGCCATACTTGCAAAGAAATGCACGCAGTCAGGAAACTTTCAGTTTGATAAAGACACCGTCCATTTCAAAATACTGTCTAGCCGAAAACTAAAACATGGAACCGTATGTAACGGTATTTTAAAGACGCTTTTCCAAAAATACAAACTTGAGCTTACAACTAGCTTGCATCGATCACACCTTCGTAAATATCTCTTACCATACCTTGTAATCGGTCAGAAACAGAACTTTCTCGGGGCAAATTGGAGTGGTCCTGCTGATATCATCCGAAACGTTTTCCTGAGTCATCGGTAGTTCCTTCGTTTCTTGTTAGGGAAGTAGAAAATGAAAGTTTTCCTTGCACGCTCAACCTTGGTGAACGAACAATAATACAAAGTATTTTTTGTGCCCAATTATAAGCCAACATTTTCTTTACCATTTGGAAATGGTCCGGTGAGAGTGGGTACACAGGGGCTCTTTCGCCTGGTCTTGAAGACTTTTGTCGTGACCTTTCTCACTCGACTGACTGCCCGTGGGTTTCCGAGGATTGCTTTCAGTTAATAAACACAAAAAGGAAAACTAATAATGTATGCGTTTCGTCTGAAATATCAATTTTACATGCAGCTCTTATGTCGCTCGATGGCCTACATGAGAAAAACGAATGTGTGCACTCTTTATTCGAAGCGCTTACTCAAGTATATAAAATAGTTTGAGATTTTCCAGTCCAGGCTTTTCTGTTTTGGGTCAGAATAATTGTCCTGAATTCAAACTTACCAATGAAGTAATAAGTTTCTACATCCTTTCTAATAAAATCCAGAGCTCTGATAGCCTCGTTAGCATGGTACTCCCCACATTTTAAAGAGGCGAGGATTTTTCCCTGGGTTGCGTCGCACGTTTTGTATCCATGGTGATCAACGCTGTAGATGTCGACTGTTCCTGAATAATTCATCAGTAAGGGAGACCCACACTCGAAGTTTAACGTGCAATTCGTTGTCATCCAAAGTAGTTCAGCATGTTTATGTTTACTACGATAGAATTAATCAGTTCCATTCAGTTGGAGAATTGATAATAGTAAATTGGGTAATTTCTTATGTATATATATCGAGCGCCCAGGCTATTCTGATGACAAATCCGTGATTGTCCGGTATTGTTCACAACTTGAAGTGGTCAGGCTTAAAAACCCCCGATTTGTATGTCAACTGCTAATCGGCTACTAGGATGTTTACCGGTCGGATTATGACTGGCTTTTTCACGAAATACTACAATACCGTATTTATTCGATTAACCGCCCTGGGCGCTTATTAAATTTTTGGACCTTGAGAGTGGGCGCTTATTAAATTTTCACGATTTTCAGCAAGGAAGTATGTTTATTTTGCAACAAAACAATAAAAGCTAATAACAAAACGCGAAGAAGTAACAAAGCAAGGTTTCTCTAAAATAGTCTGAAGAAAGTTCCGTCCTCGGGAAAGTCTCTTATTAGAATTTATTCACTCAAGTGGGTGGGGTGGGGGTGAGCTCTTATTTGAGTTTGATTGGGAGGAGGAGGGGTTGGGCGCTTATTCGAGGCTGGGCGCTTATTAACTTTTTCTGCCTTTAGGATAGGCGCTTATTCGAGGTGGGCGCTAATTCAAGGTTGGGCGCTTATTCGAATAAATACGGTAGTCTTTAAAATGCAGGCCTGACCTCTATCAGGTGGGTAACATTATTCCGCAATGATATTTGCTGAAACGAGTGGCATGATGGAATTAAGGTTGTGTTTACACTATAACGGATAGGCTTTGCGCCGGCACGAAAACCATACCGGTAACGGCTTCTGTTCACACTAAGAACGGTGATTTCTGCGCGACTTCTGTAACGGGACAAGGCTGCGTTGCGCCGATCTCTAAAGTGGACAGTCACATATCGGACAGGTGTTCATGTTCCACCAGGTAGCTTTTGGTGTCGGCACAAAAAACTATACAAATTGTTAACCCTTAGCATCGAAAACTCGGCACACGCAGCTCTTGACAAGATTGTCGAGTGAGTTTGAGGCTAAACCTGCCCGTTAACATAGTTGGGGAGCGAGCAATATTTTATTCCGGCCATATTCCAGAATAAAAATGAATGAAATAAACTTTATAAACCGCTTGCTATGGCGCTCATTGCATTGCAATCTCTGCTTGATATAAAATATTGAGAAGTAATTAATCTTCTAAACGACTGAAATGAATTGTCCACTGGGGAGACGACTCTCATAAATGAAGCCTCTCACTCACAGATATTATTATCGTTACATAGTCAATCAATTCCCAGATTTGACAGTCACAATATGATTTCCCTGTAGACAAATACCGTATTTATTCGATTAACCGCCCGGGGCGCTTATTCCAGGTGGGCGCTTATTAATTTTTCACCATTTTCAGCAAGAGTAGCATGTTTATTTTGCAACAAAACGCAAAGATGTAACAAGGCAAGGTTTCTGTAAAATACTCTGAAGAAAACTCCTTCTTCGGGGAAAGTCTCTTCTAGTAGTTATTCAATTTTTTTCGGGGGTGGTAGGGGCAAGGGAGGTGGGCGCTTATTTGAGTTTGAGTGGGAGAGGGAGCGGGGTGGGCTGGGCTGGGCGCTTATTAACGTTTTCTGCCTTTAGGAAGGGCGTTTATTCGAGATGGGCGCTAATTCGAGGTTGGGCGCCTATTCGAATAAATACGGTAATTTTCTATTGAAAGGAAAAGAATGCATCTATAGAGGGGGGGTTCGTGGGGAAAAGCCAGAAAACGCTTTAAACTTCACAAGTCTGAAATAAGTTCTACCAGGAAAAATATTCTTTTAGAAAGTAAAAGGAACGTCTGACCTCATAAGCAGTTTTTGTCAATCAACGCTGTGAGTTTCAGACATCGCTGAAGAAGAGCAAAATATCAGCAGCGTTACAAAGCTAAGCTGCAACTGCGTCATTTTGAGGCAATATAAGAGGCAACAGAAAATTGTTCTTCGACATCTTTTTGTTGGGTCAGTCTCTTCGTCCATAAGTGATGTCATAGTCATAATCAATGGTTAATTCCTGCGTCAAGATCGAGCATTAACGCGCGCAAATGTAAATATATCTGATGGAGCAGTTATCAATTGATCATACAATTGGCCAATAATGGACTGCGAGCAGTCTCTCTTTTTCTTCCGGTTTAGTAAGGGGAGTGCACGCGCGAAACGAGGGCGGTAGCCCGAGAAGAAAATCATCTCTTTTTTCGTGCCTCTCCCATCTCGCGCCATCAGTCACGCGCGTGGCCCTTTGCGCGTCTCGCGTTTTGCTCGACGGACTACAGAAAAAAGAGAGACTGCTCGTAGTCTGGCCAATAACGATGTGCGCAAAAATTTAAATAAGCTTAGCAGATTTCGAAGCAGGTGTAAGTAGCGTGAATTTCAGACATTCCTTCGAGTCGCATGCTCCTCTCAGCAAAGAGGAGTAAGCGATTCAAATGAATGTCTGAAATTCAGTCTAAGATCTAAGTAGAACCATGAGTTTCTGGTAGAACCTAGTCATTGGTTATTACTCCTAAAGCGGCTACTGCAAAACCAGGGTATTCAAGGTACTTGGGAGACTATTTTACGAGCACATATTTCGCTAGTTATCCTAATGTACACATGAACGAGACAAAATAGGTCTTCATTTTGAAAGCTTTACTTCATTATGTAACACGGATAAATAAAATTTCGTGACATGATATATATATATATTTTATACATTTTCTATTTTTTATGCTACCAGTTAAATAGTGTCCACAGTCACTGACCAAAAGTAAATATTCCGACACTAAAATACTATTAACTCATCATTAGTAGAACGATCAATATGCATTTATGCGTACCAGGTTAAATATAGGTCTATATAATCATTTCTTCTGTGGCACATCATTATTGCCAATTGATTTGCTGATTTTGAACAGAATTTTAACTGAACTGGTTTTGTTCCCTTTTCACGGCAACTGCATGGTGACGTCGCCCTTAATTCAGCCCTGCGTAAGTGCACCTGCCAACTTCACATTGTAAAGATTTACATTCTTTTGTATATTGCCTAAACACTCCGGGGAGAGTTTTATGGATCCCAAATTTTGTGTTTTAGCTGCTACTTGACATTTAAACTTGTCCAAGAAGAGTCGGATCCTGTTGTTTGTGTCTTCAGGAATCTCCGTCTTTCCTTCCTTTTTGTATCGCAGCCACATGAGCGAAGCGTATTCAGGGTCCTTAGGATCACCAAAATCTAACAGTGTAAATCTGTCGTTGGGTGGTACGCGGGTACGGAGCAGTCTCATCGCGTTGAACATCCTTGAAAGGTATTTACTCATCTTGAGGAAGCATTTGTTCAGAGTGGGAACAGGGTCCTGATTGCAGTGGTTGTATTCTTTGTTGGATTCTCCCCAGTTTTCAATCATTGACACCCACAAGTCGTGAGTTGAGAGTGGATTGTTGTGTTGTACAAGTCTACCCATTACTTTTAGCTGCATTCCTCCCACTACATGTCGTATGGCGCCGCGGGTGTGATATGCCTCTGCTGCGTAGAGTAAGGCCTCAGCGAGAAGACCTAGGATACGAAACTTCATGAATAATATTCAACTATCCCCCGAAGGGGAGGTGAATAGTGGCCCGCAGGAGCGGGCCCTTAGGATTGTGTGTAACACACTTAGTAGAGAACTCTCATCGTCTTAACTGCGCCAATCTACCTGGCCTACAAAATAGGCGTTTACAAGATCTTGCTACCTTAAGTATAAAGTTGAATATGGTTTGGTGTTAAGTCATCCAAATAGCACGTAAGAAATGTGGATTTTCATTTACCCAGATTTAATAGTGTACGTTAATTACGGGAAACATTCTATAAGGTACTTTGGACCAGATATTTTGTCTAGATAAGACAGCAAAATCAAGGACAAACCTACCATAGCTACAATCCTTTAAGTCCAGCATATGGCGTATTAACCTTGTGGATCTTATAAGTGACAACTGTGGCTCTTGCCTTATTTGTGCAATGTAGTTCTTGGAAATTTTTAGAAATATTTTTAGCATTTTCTGTATATTTTAGTGGGGATAATTCTGTAATATTTTAACTTTTAACTTTTTATAAATTTTAAATTTTAGAGAATCATAAATTTACCTAATGATAACATATATAAACTCATTTAGATATATATTTGTTTATTTTTTCCTATTATTTTAGTGTCTCCAATTAGCTTTTATAAGCTAAAGACATCGACACTTAAATAAAGTTATGTTTATGTTTATTATAATCAGTTTATCTTGTCCGCGATTTTTTAAACAAGGAAATAACCTGCTCAATAACCAATCATCTCTGAAGCGAGACCGCGGAGGAAAACTCTACCCTCCCCTCCCCCACGTATCCTGACGAGCACATTGGTAAAAGAATGCAATGACAGTGGAAACCTCTCCACAACTGCAACCTTGAGGACAGGAGAAAGAGGCCGTTGTAGAGAGGTGGCCGTTATTGGAGGTTCGACTGTATACTTTTAAAAATTACCTAAATTTTTTGCTTTGTATCCGCCATTGTTTGACATTGTTTCCACGCGCAATTGGTACTGTTCGTTATGAGTTTTTCTAAAGTCTTTGAGGGATTTGCCTTCAAGGTGTCTCATTCGGCTTTGATTATCCAAATTCTGGAATGCCGCCAGCCAAGAGTTCAGCGAGTCTTTGAATCTTTGACCCATTTCATTAATAGCTCCACTCGTCAAGGCGTCGAAGAATCCTTCGTTATACTTGAAGACCTTGTAGTAAGCACTGGCCAAGTCCTGCATTTTGAAATTCACTGTTTTCTCCTTTTGTGCTAGAGACTTAGTAAACTCAGGTGAGAGCTTTTGAAATATGGAGGGCATTGCAAACTCCAGTGTGAACGCGTAAACATTTGTATCAAAAACAAGCTCTGACGGTTTTCCAAAAGTAATTTCAAAAAAGTCGTTAAACTTCTTCGTCAGAAAACCAGCATCTTTACCAATCAACCCAACGTCGTAGTCTGATTTACAAGTGGCGCTTCCGTAAGGCTTAGGAAAACACACTCCAGAATCAGGGATCACAAAGCTTATCAGTTTGCCGTAATCATCTCTGACTTCTTGACAAGCAGTCAAACGTGTGCCGCTCTTTTCGTACAGAATATAGGTTACCAAGAGATATCTAGCGGCTGTTATGTAGAGGAGGTTGATGCAGCTCCTATTCTTCTTGGAGCGATCCCAATCGTTGTTTTTTGTTTGAGTAAAAAATTCCTGAGCCTTTCCAGCACGTGATTTAAATGCGGTTAATTCTTTGGTTTTTGCAATTAGGGATTTTTCAAAACTCGGTTGCTGGACCCACTCATCTTTTTGCGGGTCTTTCTTGAACTCGTAGTTTTTGACAATTTCATTCTCTATCCAGAGGATGTCTGGATCCAGGTTCAATTGTCGAGTTGACGCTGGTGAACTTAAAAAAACGAAAGAAAAAGTAATTTACGCTGTTTAAAAAATATTTAGATGAACAATAACACCGGGTATAAATAAAGACTCCACCCAAAGGGAGTATCTAGCTTTTTCAAAGTTCAGGTATACGAAAGAGTTAGTGATTTATACACGATTTAAACTACATAAAAAGGGTAGTTATTCACATATTGAAAATAACCTATCATAAAAATATTTCATCGTTAACATCTCTACTTGTAATGCTAGAGGTCCTCCCGTGATGGCGTCCATTTATTTCATTCTTTGGGCTAAGGAAGTATGACTCGAAGAGGTCACATTTTTCAATAGGTGGTATAAGAGAGGGGATCCCTTTTGTCAGAAACGAGATAAAAAGAAGGTGGGAGGTTGAACCCCGTGGTGCGGGAGCCGTACAACCCTCCCTTCCCAGGAAATATCGTTCATGAATGATTAAACTGGGGCCGTGAAATTTAACCCAAGGGAAGCATGGAAGATAATACGAGATAGCAGAGAGGAAAAAGCTCCTTTTGTTGATGGGCGAAAATCCTTTCTTTCTCTACTGGGAATTAAACAGCGTTCAGGACGTCAAAAATACCACCGATACATAGCATACGTGGTAGCTGATTTCCCCATGGGAGGTTCGGTGTCCTTGTTATCTGAGGTCCATTCCGGATCCCCCTCAGCAGTCTCGGTAGCATCCTTGAACATGGAAACAGGGAATAGTTCGCTGTCGCAGACCTAGTATGAAAAGCAAAAACATCAGCTTTTTAAAATACAAACTTTGATGAAGAAGAAAGGAAAAACTTTATGAATTCGCCCAGTTGTAACTAGTCAACAAAGGAAGAATGCGCCGGGTGAATTTCGAGTTCATTTTAAAGTCAGCAAGCTCGTGTAAGTCACAAGCAAGTCTTAAAAGACCCTGTAAAATTATTTCGTGTGCAAACAGATGCATAAATCAATCAAAATATACTTTCAAATGAAAAAATAATACCAGCAGAAGAAAGACACAGTGCGTTGTACCATGGCCACTCATAGACATTAGCACGCCTCAGAGGTGTTCATGGACTGTCTTTTGACAGCCTCTACGATTAGAACTTAGTGTCTCAAGAGGAGCAACGGTGAGGCAGTGGTGAAAGCCCTTCGCGCCCCCAACTAAATCCCGACGTCAACGACAAATACTGAATCTGGTTGAGTTTGTTGTTGGTTCTCTCCTTTGTACCTAGAGGATTTTCTCCGGGTACTCTAATTCTAATTTTCAGCCCCCTCCTCAAAAGAACAACACCTCCAAATTTCAATTCGTTCTAGACGCACGGACACGTTTAAATGAGTTCTTAAAATGTCCGAAAGATGGATTTCTACTGTCGCGTAGTTTTTATGTGCACACGTACGTTATTTTTACTCGCCTAAAAATAGAGGCAATGGACGGAAGGCCACGCGAAAACGTAAAAGTTGAGCGAGTTTTACGGTTACGCGCGGCCTTTCGCACATTGCCTTTAATTTATGAGCGTAAAATTTACGTGGGCGCGCACATAAAAATTACGCGACAGTGGAAATTCCCCCTAACTGTTTCATGGGTAAACAAAATTGTAATTTAAGCTCATAAAAATAAATGGAATCACAATGTCTCTTACCACACTTCCTCCAACCAGCAATATGACAAACAAGGTACTCAGAATATTCACCATATCGTTAATTTCCTGAAAACTGACCATGCAGAAGAAGCTTAAATAAAGATCGTTTATCCCCTTTTTCGCAGTTTTTTAATCATCACTAAAGCCATTCATCTCTAACTTTTCGGAAGTATCAAAAGTAGTCCTTCCCAAAAGAACAGGGTCTCAAACAACAGTTTTATGAACTGACCGTTTTACTCATTTTAATGCCAAGAATATTCAAACAAAACACTATCCCATCTGAACAAAAGAAAATTATCTGTAGAAAACACAGCGTTTAAAAGAGAAGCAACTAATATCCAGATGTTTGGAAATAACTAAGCTAGACTTTTTAAAAACAGTTTATTCTCTTATCGGCAAATGCCGGGCAAGATCAGGCCATCCGCAAGTGATTCAATATCGCTCGTGGAATTTGTCTCACGACCGATCTGGAGGCCAGCAATAAAATCTGTTTCACTGCTTCAAGACTGATAACTATATTCAATTGGGTAACAAGTTTGCTAATGCTTCTCAAGACTAACATTAAATTGCCAAATGATTTCGTTAATTGATATTTTCATGCATGAACATTGAGTTCAAATTCAGAACCCCCAACGAAATGACATCGTTTCTAAATCTAGCACTACCAATTTAGGTGTCACTACGCAAAAAAGGGGTCACATACCTTTCTAAGTGAAGAACAAATCTGCGATTGATTGAAGAACAAATCTGAGAATTATCTTCAATCAGGAAAGGCCACGCGGTATTCAGTAAAGCGCTTGTCGTTGTCTTTTTATTTAAGAAATTTCTAACCGAACAAAAAATTTTTTTTGGTTCATAACGGCTACTTAGATAGACTGACCACAAGCAATAAAGTCATTAGCTTATCGTAGCCACAATACGCCATAGGAAAATGCAATTTCTCAACATAAAATATTTCATGGAGACCTAATTTCTTCACACTAGCTCTCAAAATAGAGAGAAAAATAACATTTCCTTAAGCTTTTTTTAATGTTTTTGTTCTTTCTACCACGGATCAATATAACAAAACATTTACAAGTGTAATTGATTTACAAGTGTAGCGATTGTTTTTAGCGTCTGAAAACAATAGCTACACTTGTAAATTACACTTGCAAAAATTTTATTGAATTGACCCGTCCCCAGTTTAACAAGTTTACCCCCTTGTCAAACTTTAATTAGTGATTCAATCCTGCGGAGTCAATAGCTCGAAAGCCAACCTCGTTCCCAGGGTTCTCTCCTACCCGCCCTATTGAGCTCCGTAGTGCGGGTAGGAGAGAACCCTGGGAACGAGGTTGCTCGAAAGCTAAGCTTCTCTGACCACCCCACACTTCTATCCAAGCCATTAAGTTTCTTTTTTCCATTTTCTTCTTCTTTTTTATTAGTGTATTCCTACCTTACTATGTATAATGTAAATATTTTATAACAGTGTCAATAAAATTGAATTGAATTGAATTGGCCAGCCCACAGAAGCAGAAGCGACTCCGGCTATGAAAGCCTTTTGAAGGCATGTTGTCATGCTCTGCACTTAGCGTTTGCTAACCTTTAAATGAGGACATTTCCAACAGGAGGTGGCGGGGGTATTTTATATCCGTGTAAAATGAAACATGGCCACAATGCACCATTATGTAAAAGAAATATCTCAACACAAGGTATCTTATAGTGAACAAATTTCTTAAGTTGCACTAACATCCAAAATAGAAAGAGAACTGTTTTGCGCCATACTTAATGACCTCTTGAATCAAGTTTCAAGATTTTTATCGCTTTTTCACCTGATAATAACTTAGTTTTAACCAGTTCACTGAGACTATTCACTCGTCAATTGAAAGTTAGCGGGTAGTGCAAGGCCAATAAAGACTGGCCACCCATTAACCAAATGAAGCTGGAAAAGCAATGTTAAATGCTTTGTTGTGACCTTCTCAAAGAAAGCACTTAATAAATTTTGAATAAGTTGTTCAAAAACCTTTTTTAATTATTTTTATTTTCAGCAGAGAGGATGAAGGTATATGAATGTTATACTTTGTAAACAGTCTTTGAACCTTTTTTTCAATAGTCTGGTCTATTTTTTTCTTTTTTACCAAAGTTATACTCTCTAATTTGCCAGCCTGTATATATTTAAGGGTAACGAAGTGCCTCGCGTGTGTACTGACGTCCCTTGCACGGTTTCTCCTTTTAATTTTTTTTAATTTTATTCTTCTCATATATACCTTATTCTTTTCTTTTCTTTTTTAACCGAGGTTTACACTGTAATAGTAAATCCTTTAAAAAGCTTAGTGCGAGTTTACTCAGACAAACCCAAAACTATGACACACTGCACAATACATTTTTCAAACGAGGAAAGGTTTCAGGCTGCCAAAACTCGCGATGATCCGAGCTAGAATTTGCTTAAGTAGCTTACAGTTTTTTTGCTGGGAAAGTTCCCATACAGTTGAATAGCTTTATCTCTTCAGCAAAAAATTAGCAGGTAACTAAATCTTCCTGCGAGCTTATTGTTAAAATTTTGTAGTTTTTCTCATCAAGTTTAGTGGTTCTTAACTAATGACCATGTCGGAATTCACACGGTGGATTGTTTTCATTAAGTACAGTTTGAATTTTCTCAGTAACCCAGAAAGAAAAAAAAGTTCCTCTTTGTTAAGGAAACAGTCTTCCTCGGTGTAGTCCTTGATGAACATCTGTCTTGGAAACCGCACATTTCTCAAGTAGCTCTTAAAATCTCGAAATCAATAGGAGTCATTAATAGAGCAAGATTTTTTTCTAAACCCTGTCTAAAAACTCTTTATTATTGTTTAGTTTATCCTTATCTTCATTATTGTATTATTGTCTGGGGATCTACGTACAAAACCAATCTTCGCCGTCTTGTCTCTTTGCAAAAGCGAGTTATCAGAATTATTTCTAAATCAACTTTCGATTCTCATTCAGACCCTATTTTCAAAGAATTAGAGCAACTAAAACTTTCCGATATTAGACAACTAGAATTGGGTAAACTTATGTTTTCTCTTAACCATTCTCTTTTGCCTTCAAAGTTCAACAACTATTTTTCTTTAAACAAACAAGGTCATAGCTATGCCACTAGATACGCGAACGATTTTCAACTTCCGTTTTGTAGAACAAACCTTCGTAAATTTTCTGTCAGTTTCCAAGGACCTACTTATTATAACTCTATAGAAAATGATATTAAAGAATCTAATTCTCTCCACTTATTCAAAACGAAATTGAAAAAAAAATTATATATGAATTATTAGTTATAACTCTGGTAGTAAGTAGACATCTTTCTTCACACGTCTGATATTATTTTTATACTTATTGTTACATGTACCATACTTTATATTTTGTGAACTCAGTCTATGTAATTAGTTA